CGTGACGCGTTGAGGAATCTGTGCAAGCTGCCGTTCCAAGCAAGATTGTGGAGGAGGAGAAGGAGGAGAAGGTTGTCTCGCAGCCGAGTGCAGCCACCTCAGCATGGACACGATGAAACGTTGTTCCATCTGGGTACGTCGAACCATTGGCCAGCGATAGCTGCAGAAGTTGCTCCGACCAACTGGCAGGTTGACACGAACGCGAATATCGAGGAATCTGAGGCTTGAAGCACTTGGTGACATGTCTTCCTGGTTTGACTAGTAGCTTGCTACGTTGAACGCCTGGCACCGTACACAATGCATATTTGGGCTGTTTCCAGGTATGTGGCAAGGGGGTTGGCAAGGAAGATTTGATCAAGGACACTGACTGTAAGGGAGAGACTCAGTGCCAAGCAAAAGAGCAATTGGCCTGCCAATCTACGACTCCGCACATTGAAGGAAGTCGGTTGCCAGGACTGGATTGGTGAGAAGAGTTCTCTCAAGAACCTGCCAAAGTGGCGAGTTTACAGTTACTTGGCATAACTTTGTCATCTTCAAGCCAGACCACTTCATTTGCTTGCCCTTGAGGTGACAAGATTGAGGCCGCAGCCACTCAGGGTGTAGCACCCAAATCAGATCTGATCTACTAATCTACTGTATATATCTATCAATACCTCTCTCTCTATATATATATATATATGTGTGTGTGTGTGATCGAACAGTTCAACGAGTCATGGAGACTGAGGTTTAGCCATCAACTTCTCCAAGCTCTCGGATCGTCGCACTGGCAGTGGCTTTTAGAATCGATTTCAACCGATGCCTGTGGCGTCGTTCAAACCAATCGCCGGGTCAGAATGAAACAAAACGATGTTTCTTTAACGGGGAGCCTGCTTGGCATTGGCAGGGTCAGCACTCGAGGCGAGATCTTGCGGGCAGGACTTGGGCAAATGAATAAAGCCAACGGAAACTGTGCTAGTTGTATCTAGTCGTTTCATGACGGGAGAGGCACACCTTATGGGCCGCCCAGCTCCAGGTCATACCCATGAGGGCATTGATGAAAGAGTGTAAGCTGTTGGGCTTGGAACTCAGGTGCTATGCGCATAGGACGTCGTGTCGGAGGTGTTTGATGCGCTTGTTGGGTTTTGTCCGTCCGTTGTGGCAGTACATGTGCTCTCCCACCGTCCCGGCAAGACTTCATGACCCAAAACGGAGACAAATTCACTCAATGAGATTGCCATGTGGGTACTGGAGCTTTGCCCTAGAGTCGTGACCCCTTGCAAGCCCCCAATCAGCTCGATTTCGACACGGATCTAGGCAACTGATGGCACCTGTCGCAAAAGGGCTGGTGGCAGCGTTTTGCCATTTGTGGATCATACAGGGAAGCGACAATGTCATGCCTTAGTCCCCGTGGCTTTCAAGCGATTTCATGGTTTTGGGTAGGACTTTGTCAGTTGCCTGTACCATGGCATACGACTCGACCCTCCTCAATCTTGAAGTAAGCAGCCTCGACGAGAAAAGCGAAAGAAAACTACCCCAGAGCGATCGACTCGAGCCGAGTGGAGATGCAAGCGATCACCACCGATGGGCAACGAAGTGAAGTGGTTATTCATGTTATTCTAGATCCCAAGTCCAGGTTGATGGAGACTATAGTCAAAAGTGAAGGAGTGGGGCTGAAGAAAACCAATTGTATGCGACCAGAGGGCAAGAGGCTGGAATCACGCCCGCAAGTTGCCGAGGTATTGATGTGTCAGGCCTCTACGCAAAATGCGAGGCAAAGATTTCTAAGTCTCACATAGTCTCACAGCTATCGAGAGGTGACAAACACGTGAATCCTGCCAGTGCTTTGTGTTGCGCAGGTGATCAAGAAGATGGTGTCTGAGATGAACCGAATTGTGGTCGCAGAAAACTCATTTCGCTTATTTCGTGCCTCTCGCATGCGCCTCACCCTTTTGTGGCTTATCGGCCCAGCCGAGGCTGGTAAGGAGGCATCCTTTTTTGCCAGTGGCCTCAGTCCACATGGCGCATGAGTTCACCGTATG